CGGTAAACGAGGGAAAAACAAATTGATCGGATCCTGCACGTCTTTTAACACATTGGTCAGGATTGACGCACTTTGTTTTCATTTAGTTCGTTTAAAAAAGTCGGGCTCGGGCCGGGCCAGAGAATCCTGAAAACCTTTTCGGGCCGGGTCGGGGTGGGGCTCCACCCCCTTGGGCCGGGCCGGACACGGGCTCAGATTTTAGGCCCGTGCAGGGCTCTAGGGTAAACTAGCCTTTTTAAAGATTTATTATTATTATTACTTCAAATAGATATGGCTATGGCTATTTCTGTCACACCCACTGATGGACCGACTCTAGTCATTGGCAGCTCAATAGAAACGTGTCATTATTGATTCCAGCAACCATAGTTAAATGTTTACTTGGTGTCAGAGCAGGCCACATTAAATCCTACCTGAAACTGCTGGCTAAGGGTAAGCGTAAATACAGATTGTTATTCACGCTGGCGGTAACGACACCCAGTTGCGGCAATCGGAGGTCACTAAAATTAATGTTGCTTCGGTGTGTAAGTTTGCCAAAACAATGTCGGACTCTGTAATTTCCTCTGGCCCCCTGCCTGATCGGACCAGTGACGACATGTTTAGCCGCATGCTGTCCTTCAACCGCTGGTTGTCTAGGTGGTGTCCTGAAAACAACGTGGGCTACATTGATGATTGGAAAACCTTTTGGGGAAAACCTGGTCTGATGCGGAGAGACGGCATCCATCCCTCTTTGGATGGAGCAGCTCTTCTTTCTAGGAACATGGCCAGTTTTATTAGTCCTCCATGACAACCCAGGGTCCAGACCAGGAAGCAGAGTCGTAGTTTAACCCACCCCTCTGCAGCTTCTGTACTGTTACCCACCCACTACCCCATAGAGACTGTGTCCTGCCCACGGCCAAAATCACACAGATTAAATATCAGGCTTAATAAAGCAAATCATGGAAATCTCATAATTATTAGAACAAATTCAACTGAGCAGAAAACTAGAAAAATTAAATGTGGGTTGTTGAACATTAGATCTATTTTTTCTAATACTCTGTTAGTTAATGAGTTGATTTGTGATAATCAGATCTCTTTGGTCTCTCTCACAGAATCCTGGCTGCAGCAAGAGGACTATGTTAGCTTAAACGAGTCGACTCCTTCAAATTATTTAAATCATCATATTGCTCGAAGTACAGGGCGAGGAGGAGGAGTGGCAACCATTTTTCATTCGGACTGCATCAATCCCTTACCAATTAATAGCTACAGTTCGTTCGAACATCTTATTCTTAGTTTTCCTAATCCAGATTGCAAAACTGTAAAACCACTCTTGTTTGTAGTTTTATATCATCCACCAGGCCCTTACTCTGAGTTTTTGGATCAGATCTCTGATTTTTTATCTGATTTGGTGCTAAATACTGATAAGGTCATTATAGTAGGGATTTTAAAATTCGTGTGGACATTGAAATTGATTGCCTCAATGTAGCCTTTAGTAATATCTTAGACTCAATTGGTTTTAATCAAAGAATACATAGCTCCACCCACTCCTGCCATCATACATTAAACCTTGTGCTGACTTATGGCATAGAGTGTGAGGAAATAACAATCTTTCCACATAATCCAGTCCTCTCGGACCACTTTCTGATAACCTTTGAGTTTTTTATAACTGAGTTCTCGAGACATGAAAGTAAATTTCTATTGCATCTTTTAAATCAACTGTTCTATCTTTACTGTCTTCAGCATCTCAGAGGAAAGTAAGAGGGCAATATTTTCTAGCCCTTCACAAATTAATGATCTAGTTCATAATGTAATTTTTTTACATGTGGCATTAGATGATGCTGCTCCTTTTAAAAAGAAGGTAATTACTTTTAGGAAGATGGCTCCCTGGTTTAATTCTCATTTACGAACTTTTAAACAGAACTCTAGAAAACTGGAGAGAACATGGCTCTCTACACACTAGGAGGAGTCCTAATTATCCTGGAAAAATAGTCTTGTGCTTTATAAAAATAAGCTTCGACAAGCTAGAACTGCATTTTTTTTTCATCGCTAATTGAGGAGAACAAGAGTAATCCTAAATTTCTTTTCAGTACAGTTGCCAAATTTACACAGAATCATAGCTATGAACCATCTATTCCCTTAGCCCTCAGCAACAACGACTTTATGAGATTTTTCATGAGTAAAATTAATTCTATTAGAAACAAAATCTTTAGCATCCTCCCTAATGTGATTTCTTCTTCCTCAGTAAGTGAGGCAGCATCAGAGGTAACTGTAGAACCTCATCTGTGCTTGAACCGTTTTGATCCAGTTGAGCTTTTGGAGTTATTAAAAATATTAGCTTCATCTAAACCGTCAACTTGCATTTTGGATCCAATCCCAACCAAATTATTTAAAGATGTGTTTCCTTTGGTTACTGCCCCCAATCTAGATATAATCAATCTATCCTTAGTAAATGGATAGTAAATGGATACGTACTGCAGGGTTTTAAGGTTGCTGTAATCAAACCTTTACTTAAGAAGCCTTCTCTGGATCCAGATGACCCAATGAATTATAGACCAATATCTAACCTTCCATTTTTATCCAAAGTCCTGGAGAAAATAGTGGCCATCCAAGTATGTGAGCATCTAAACACTAATGCTCTGAGAGCACCATGTGAGCACCTGTGTGTGTACACGCGCTTGTTTATGTAAGGTTTATCTATAGGAGCGTCCAATAGAGAGTGTGAGGGACCACAGATCTGCCCCCCAAAGACGCGTAGGAGACGGGGGGGAGCTCCAAGTCCCAGAGATCCAGGCGCTGCCCCAGAACACAGGAACCCCAAGGAGCCCGCAACCAGAAAGGCCCCCGCCCCCCTCGAGAGGCACAGAGTATCGCCCCGTGGGGCCACAACCAGCAGCCGGCAGAGCCCCGGGAGATATCAGCGGCAAGTCCTCAGGCCTGCCCGCAGCCTCCCACCCCCTAGCCGGCCGAGTCCGGGACCCAGCGACCCGGGACCCAGGGGCGACCACCCCCGCCGGGGACCCAGCAGAGCCCAGGGACCCAGACCCCCCCAGGCCGCCACCGGGATTGATCATAAGTATGGGCTTGGGCACGTTCAACACATGTCTTAAGACTATGGTGGGCACTCAATGCACTGTGGTATATTATCGTGTGACTGTTTAGTTAAACAATGATTGATTATATATTTCTTCATCAAGTTGACGCAGTGATAGCTTGATTTTGTTATATTGGTGTTGTGTCCCATTTTTTTGTTATGTTTTGCTTTTTTCTCGTCTCATTTTGCAGGTCTAGAAGCAGACTCTTGTTCATTATTGTTTATTTTTGTTGAATCCCCCCCCCCACCTAACCCCCTCTCTCCCCACCTTTTCTCTTTTCCTTTCTCTTTCACCTCTGTCTCCGTGTCTGGTCGAAATTACAAAGCATTCAAAAACAATAACAATAAAGTTTTAAATATCAGGTGCGACATTAAAAGCAGACTCTTTGATGCTCCACCTGAGACATTAAAAGCAGATGCTCTGATGCTCCACCTGAGAGTAAAACTGTAAGGCTTGTTACCAGCATTCAGACATCAATTCTGCTTGCTTCACAGCCAGACAGGACACGTAAAAAAAAAAAATAAAAAAAAAAACACTAATGCTCTGTTTGAGGAATTTCAGTCTGGTTTTAGAGAGTATCACAGCACTGAAACTGCATTAGTGAGAGTTACAAATGATATTCTCATGACCTCGGATAAGAATCTTGAGTCTGTTCTAGGGTTGTCACGGTTATTGTGACCAAAATTATCACGGTTTTCTGTATTATCGCGGTATTTTTTTAAACGAGTTACATTTTCAGACAGCTAAATAAACCCTGTATATCAGGAAAATATTGTGTTCAGTTTGTGTCGAAATTTGGCCTAAAATGTGTTATTTTGTAATTATGTTGTTGATTTGTTTACATTTTTCCCCTTTAGTCTTTAAAATACCAATATTTGCCCATAACTTATTTGTCGGTTTGATGTCCTCATTTTAAAAATATTAGACCAGATAATACTCAGTACTCCAGTAGCCTTCTAATTAGATACTTTTTTACCCTTAATTGAGTAATAAACACTATCAGGAAAATATTGTCCTCGGTTTGTGTCCTTCCAGTGAGCTTTGCAGATTTGGGAAAATGTCATCAGGCAGTAATCATTGTTAAATTCATAATTATTCTGGGAGAGAGACCAACTCTTATCTGCCCCTGGGAGCCCCGTAATGCATAGCGTCATTTCAACATGGCGGTGTCTGCGACACGGTTTATATGCAGGTAGCGGCGCTGCGGCTGCTTTATATAGCGACTCGTTGCTTTCTCCCTCAACCCAAATCCTGGGATCACACATTTTAACTAAAGCGCTAACGTTAGCTTGCCTTGCGTTTACTGTAGAGTTGTGGGTGATGGTCACGCAGATGTGTCATGAGATTTGAAGCGTTGCTGCCTTTCACAAACACTTTTTCTGCTCGTGCTGCAAACAGGATAGCCGTCTTCTATCAGCTGTCCCTCGGCATTCTTCAAATATCCAAAAAATGCCCGTACTTCCGACTTTGTCTTGTCTGAGGGATAATAAATGTCCTGAGCGCTGCCGCCTCCTCTTCTGGACATTATTTCAGCTTAAGGCTCAAGAAAGTTTTGGTTGTAAACAACAAAGTGCGCATGTGCCGCCGGCAACTTCAGCAGATGATACGGTGGCTGGTAAGGTTCACCGCGCCTACACCGCAGCCACGGTACTCCACCGAGATAATATAGTTTTTTTTAAAAACAAGACAGTTATTATTATTGTCAACTTTTTTACCGGGGTTTACCGGGTTTACAGATTCATTCAACTATGTTATAGTAACACGCCACTTTACATGCAGTTATGGTAACAACGTTGTAACAATGGGAAAAGTAATAAATTAGATTACGCTGTTACCTAAAAATAATGTTGTTAGTAACGCTGTTATACTTGAACGTCGTTACTACCAACACTGGTTATGTAGGTGCATGTGTGCATGTCTGTGTGTGACCACCTTCTCCTGCAGCTGAGTGAAACTGTCCTGGAGGACATCTCTCTGCTCCACCACCTCAGCCAGCTCTCTGCTGTGTTGCTCTTTAGCAGTGGACAACATCTGCTCAGACTTCCTCCTCCACTCTTCCTCCAGCTCCACCTGTAGCTGAGACAACTACGTCACAGAGCACCCCCGTTAGCGATGAATAATGTAGCTAGAAACAAGGATTATGTTGTTTTAGGTCTTTCTCTGGAAACCTGCTCAGATGCAGCAGTGTCACTGCTACTCCTGGCCTTCCGAAGCTGGGCCCGGAGGTTGTCCAGCTCCATCTGACTGCTCCTTCGGAGCTCCTCCACCTCCTCATCTCGTTGCTGGCGCGCTGCCTGCCATTTCTTCTTCCGTTCTGAAAGTGCCTGAGCACGAGTAGAACCAAACCTCAATCAGAACATTCTCCTGTCTAAAACCTCTGTAGTACCTCTATCTTTGGCTCCAGGCACTGTGGGACCAGTAAAACACTAAACAACAATACAACTTGTTCACTATGACTGATGAAAAGATGAAACTAAACGTACACGTTCTAGGTTCTGTTTGTCGGTTCTCAGGTCCTGCAGCTCCTCCTCCAGGGTACTGACTTTCTGCTCCACCTCTTTGTGTTTCTGTTTCTCAGAGCGGTACTGAGTCTGAGCCCGCTCGGCTGCCTCCTTCAGCTCTGAGGGTCAGACACACAGGCAACGCTACACATCCTTCTTCCGATACAGCAGGTGCATTAGTCAGAACACACCTGGCCTCATGCACGCGGATTTTAACCTCCTGCTTCCAGTTTTAACTCAGTTGTTCAGTAAAAACGAGTGTTCTGTGATGTAGGTCGTTTCACCTCAAGGTGAGTGCAAACATCTGGATGAGGAAACGGACTGAACGGGGCACGTTTTTTCCCCCTTTTTTAATTGATGAACAGAATCAGAAACTAAACACTTTCTCATATTTAAACACATTTTAAGCAAAGTTCTTCAGCTTTTTGCCTGCTTGTTTTGGATTGCTAAGTAAACACAACAACTGAGGAAAGAAGGATTTATTGCTGCAGACCTCTAATGGTTCTCAAAATGTGAGCTGACCTTCCAGCTGTGTTTCCAAGGAGGCGATGTGCCGTCTGTGGCTCTCGCTGTCCTGCAGCACTGAGCTGAGTTTACTCTGCAGCTCCGCAGCCTTTTGCTGCTGAGCTGACGCTTCCAGCTGCAGCTGAGATACTCGAGCTGTTGAGGAAGCCAGCTCCTCTGTCAGACGAACCTAGGAGATGGAGGAGAACAACAAGAGGAGTAAAAAGAGGAGATGCGCCTGAGGTCAGGTACAAACAACATGGTGACAGGTCTGGGTGGGAGGCTACTGGTGATGGAGGCTGCACGTTCCTGTGGAAAATGATCTGAATCAACAAATGAAACAAAACCATCCAAAGTTGACTGTAATGTCAGCGAAGTGTGATGTGAAGATGATCCAGTGGCAACAAAGAGACTGAGATCAAATAGATGCATCCGTTTAAGTTAGTGAAGCTCTACCTGGACACCAAGTTTTAACCCAAACCCAGCATGCTGGGCTGAACCAGAACGATCAGATCTTTGGGTATTCTTCTAAGATTTTAGGATTATTTAGACTAGTTGAGCCCAGTCTGATGCCATAATAGAGAAAACCCGGCTCACCTGGCCAGAGCCAAGGTCCAGAGGCAGAGAGCGCTGAGAAGACAGAGCAGCAAATAAAAGCAGCTAATAAACAGCAGATCCACCCAGAAACATCAAAGCAACTGATCACTTTAAACACAGGCTCTGATTCTGGAGCTGACCAGGTCCCTTTACACACCAACATACAGTGTAATAATGGTTTTGGGAAAATTTTGTGGCAGAGGAGGTGGGGGCCTGCCCAACAACCAGAGGGTTGTGGGTTCAAGCCCCGCTCAGTCATCTCAGTCATTGGGCAAGACCCTCCTGGCCTGCTGGTGGTGGGCGGAGGGACCAGTGGTGCCATTGCTGGGTTTTACTCAAGCGCAAAACTCAAATGGAAGACAGGAAGTGGTACAACACGGCGCAATGGATGAAAGTGGGTTTACTAAGATGTTAAACGAGCTGGCACAGATGTGATATCACGAAAACACACTTCTTCTTTTAGGTTATGAACCAGATCGTTTTAAAAGCTGCACTTTTCGTACACTGTGGAGGACTTACCTAGCGCTGAAGCAATCAGCAACTACCTTGTGCTGCCTTCCTCATTTTACACTGCAAGCCTGGAAGCCTACAGCTATTTTATTTCTGGTTGGATAACCTTTTATTGATCCAGAGAAGCTTTAAATCATGGTCGATCGTCTTGTTTTTGCTCGGTATTGAGTTGTGCTATTTTAATTCATTAGCTCATGATAATAATGCTATTGCTAATGCTAACGATCAGCATGTGCTAGAATCTACTTGTAACTAACTTTGATACCTTTTTATTTCTAGTAATTCAATACAATTTCAAGTTTATTTATAAAGCGCCAAATCACGACATGAGTCGTCTCAAGGCACTTCACATAAGAAACATTCCAATTCAGGTCACTTCATTAAGCCAATCAGAAATAATGTTTCCTATATAAGGAACCCAGCAGGTTGCATCGAGCCACTGACTAGTGTCAGTGACTTTACAGCAATCCTCATACTAAGCAAGCATAAAGCGACAGTGGAGAGGAAAACTCCCTTTTAACAGGAAGAAACCTCGAGAGAATCCTGGCTCAGTATAAGCAGCCATCCTCCACGACTCACTGGGGATGGAGAAGACAGAGCAGACACACACACACACACACACACACACACACACACACACACACACACACACACACACACACACACACACACACACACACACGTCATGTGAAACCCAGCAACAGGACAGCTGATGTACCGTACCACCATCAGTGTGTGAATGAGTGGTGCTGTAAAGCACCTTGGGGGGTTGGAGAACCCTAGAAGGTGCTATATATCGAACACAAGCCATTTACTATTTTGACCGTGTGTTGACTCATTACGATCAGTCGCTCTAGTACTAGTCAGGTGTTTCTTTGCTCCTTCACGTGGGCAGGTCTGAGTGTGTCTACTGAATTGTCCAAATCTTTACCCACGTAGGAACAAGCAAATTATATTTCAGACCTTGCAGAAATGCCTAAATATTGATCAACTATCTGAAATAATAAACTTATTGTGTCTGATAATTCTAAATCTGACACACACTAGTGCTCCACTCCACGTCTGCAGCACAAGCCCAAACTCCCACCTTGTCCTGCTCAGCCTGCAGTAATCTGGCCTGGTTCTGCTCACTGGACGACTTGATGGAGTCGTTCCTTTGTTCCAGCAGCAGGTGACTCTGCTCCATGTACCTGGCCAAGCACAGAAGAACCACGAGAACATGTATGAAGAACACTCCAACACAAAAGGAAGAATAGTGGCGGCAGAGACGCTTGGATGGATCAGACCAAACAAGCACAGCTTCAAGCTAAACATCTTCACTTCTCCAAGTGAACAGGTCCATGTGGTGGAGGGGTGGGTGTGGTCATCTACACTCAGGTTGGCTGTGTCGTCCAATGTGGGACAAGAATAGGAGACACCCGGTGTGCTGTTCTACTGCTGGAGTCCACCTGGAGCAGCTGATGTGTTTCTGAACACCTGAGTAGGAACCAGTCTGACAAGTCTCAGTCAACGCTAGAGATGGTTGTGAGTTCAATTCCCAGAAATCTTTAGACCAGGATCTGTTAGCAAAAACCGTGTAACTCAGTCCCTTTAATCTCCTTTCCTTTCCTCTCTGGTCTGATGCTCAGATTTACCTTCAGCAGGTAGATATAAATGATGCCACGTGATTGGCTGAGTGGATTTGTGATAGCATGTGGTGACACAGGTGTACCTAATAAAGTGACCACAGAGTGCATGTTTCCCACTCATTCTCAGCATTATTTAAACAACCTTTAAACTATGTCATGAAGATGTGTTGACCAGTAGACCTGACCTGGCCCTCGTGTATCAAACATTAGTAGAAATAATCCAAAGTTCCTTCCTATGGACAAAATCTAGAATGTCCGTACGAACGGTCAAAATCTGGATTTATGAAACATCTCGTACGCATGTCCCTCTGCACTCGTCTGATGATGAATCTCACCTGTGCGTGCACAGGTGCTCGTGTCCGTTCTCAATTATTTACATACAGAAATGCCCTCAATTAACCATATTTGGTTACGCTACATCCTCACCCCTGAGGGGATTCCTTGCTTTCAACCTGGAAAACAATAAAAACTTTGTAGGAAGATCGACACACTAGGTGCCGAAGTACAAAAGAACCAACCAAGTTGATTAGGTCACAAATGCGGTCGGCACAGAGGAGAGGTTCCCGTAGAGTAACGGGTTGTCATTTACATTTTACACTTCAGGAGTCATTCTGGTTGGACTTACTTTTATTTGGAAATGTCTGAGTGCAGCCTCTTAGTTGTCATTCAGTCTAGTTACCTTGACAACGCGCGTGTGTGTGATCGGGGAGCGGAGGAGGTTCTGGTGGTCATAAAATAAAACCCGAACTGGGTCCTACAATGGGTCCTAAATCACAGCACAGCTCCAGAAGGATCTCCTGTCAGTGCGTTCACGGAAACGCGTTTACTCCAGAGAGCACGCTCGGACATATCCTTAATAATAATATAGGAACGTTCTTTTATCTAACGCATTTTAGGCTAAGTCACGAGGCGTTTCACGAGGACAAAAATATAATTAAATTAAATAAAAAATAATATTGATTAATTAAAACGATAAAAAACATAACAAAATGGGAAGAGTAAAAATTAGGATCACAAAAAACCAGACCAGACCTGGATCTGGATCAGGGACCAGTCCTGGGTCAGGTGACCGGACTCAAAGTCAAATAAACCTGGCAGCAGTAGCTCAGGAGGTAGAGAGGGTCTTCCAGTAATCAGAAGGTTGTGGGTTTGATCGCAGCTCCCAGAAGAGAATGCTGCTGCTGTGTTTTTGGGCAAGACACTGAACATGCACTGCCTGCTGGTGGTGGTCGGCGTAGCCAGTGGCGCCAGTGTTCAGAAGCCTCACCTAGGTTGGGGCGCCCCAGGGTAGCTGTGGCTACATTGTAGCTCATCACCATCAGTGTGTGAATGGATGAATGACACTCTGCAGAGTAACGTGCTTTGGAGTCCTCTGACTCTGAAAGGTGCTATACAAGAGTAGGTCATTTATCATGAATATTTTATGTTTGTATCAAACCAACTCTCGCAACCGTTTTCAGGAAGAAGCAGTTCACAAATGAATGAATGAATGAATGAATGAATGAATGAGTCTGGCAGCAGCACAGACTCCAAACAACAGGCTTCCACCTCTGCTGCTGCCGTCACCGTTTCCTGACTCACCTCTGGTTTTGGTTGATGAGATCACCGATCTTACGGTTCTGCTCCTCGATACGAGAGCTTTTTTCAAACATTTCTTTTTTAAGACAGTCGTTCTCCTAAAAACAAAAGAACCAGTTGGGTGAAATAAAAAACTCATACGAACTACAAAGACAAACATCAGCTCCTACCTGAACAATCCTTTGAATGTTGTGCACGATCATGGATGTTTCCATGGTCATACTGGACACACTCATGGAATGACTCCCTTGTCTTTGAAGATCATCCATCTGTGAGAGGGAGAGATAAACCCTCATGCTGGTAGGTTTCAGAGCCTCCCCGTCAGGACCACCTTGTTTAAAGCTTTTCTACCTTGGAGTTCAGCTGGTCCACTTTGTCTGCTACTTTTCCCACAGCTAACCGGATCTCAGTGTTGTGCTGCCGAGCCTCCGTCATCAGGAAGGAAGTCACATCCCCAGAACCTGCAGAGGTCAAATATGATTTCTCACAGGAAGCGACGAATAAAACGCTAACCTGGACCAGCGACTTCTAGATCCACCAGCACTAAAAGACAGGATCACTAACAAGCAGCATCGGTAGTATAAATGATCATCTTCCAAAAATTGATGCATTTATTCAGACTGGCTTACTGAGAGTTGGGCAGTACATTTATATTGTTTTATTTTGCTTACCTATGTATGGGGCTGCTTGTGCAGGGTAGACCTGTCCGACAGGCTGCATCAGAGACAACGCTGAAGGGCTCTGTGGAAGAATCGGCCCATGAAACTCCTAATTTAAAGACCACATTTGCTTTTTGTTAAATGTTATGTAATGTCGTGTTATGTGAAGAGTCTTCACTTGAAAGGTGTGGCTGCTGCCTGGCAGCCCAGGCTGAGGACCAACAGAGCTGATAACAGGAAGTAAGGCAGGTGTTGGAGCTGTGTGGTGGTGATGAAGATGATGTGCTGCAGGGGCTGGAGCTGTGATCTGCACTGGAGAAGATGCTGTAGGACCATCTTTACTCCGACTGCCACTCGTGTCCTGCTGAGGAAAACGTCACAACACCAGGAAGCATTTTACAGAAGGTGAAACCTGTTAAACTTCCTCTTAACGGTTTCTGGGAGTAGTTCTTGGAGATGCTCGATCTCTGTTTGTCACATTGACCTCAATAGCGGTCTGAGTGACTCATCGGTAGGGCTGAACGATTACTGCTTTTGGACCGGAATTGGGTTTTTAAACAACGCAATCACATGACCGTCAAAACCAAGGGCGTCAGTTTGTTTTCAGAATTGCTGGGGACAATAACCATACACTTGAGTGGGGTTTAAAAATTGCTGGGGACAATAAAGTAGGCTAGCACAGGGGTCGGCAATCCACGGCTCTGGAGCCGCATGCGGCTCTTCCATCCATCTGATGCGGCTCTCTGTGCTTGTAAAATAATGAATGGATATTTAAATAAAATGCTTTATATTCTACTGCATTAATTTTACATCTGTATGCCAATTCCAAATGTAAAGACTGTCTGCGTAAACCTGAACAGGTCCAACCCGGTCTTACTGTGAGACCGGGTTGACGGGTCACGCTTAATCAATTTCCCTCTGGGATTAATAAAGTATTTTTGAATTTGAATTTGAATTGTGCGTAATCATAGGCGCTTTATGAGCTGAAGACAATGTGAGATTCTGGGACTCTCCTCAGACGGCTCCTGGATGTGTCGCCACATTGGAGACAGGAACAAGCACTATTCAGCCAAAGTTTCATCATCAGGGAACATTTTCTAAGTGACAAGTCTCTCTGAGAGACAGGGTTTGGAAAACACTCGCTTCAGTGGGAGGAATCTTCCCGCATGGCTCTGGGTGGCTCTGGGGTTAATCAAGTTTAGTTGTTTCTCTTTGCAACAATCTTCACAGAAAGGCAAAACAGTTAAACGGCAGGTTACATATATTTCCATTTGACTGTTTATTTTGACAGATGAACTCAAGGATGTTGGCTGGTTTGAAAGAATTACGCAGACGCACACTGATGCACATGGATGAGCTGACATTTTAATCGTTAACGCACATCGCGGAGGTAAAATATTCCCATCAGAACATCAGAGCTTTATACTGGACACTGTGTTCAGCGCGGCTCGGAGCGCCCACGGTGGACAGTGAGCTGAAGATCTGGGGTTCGCAGCGCAGCACAGAACTGGCGCATGCGATAAGATTTCCTCCCACTGAAACAGTCTGGAAAGCCGGTCTCTCTGAGGGATGTGTCACTTGGAAAAATGTTCTTTTTATGAAATTATGAAACTTTGGCTGAACAGCGCTTGTTCCCGTCTCTAATATGGAGACGCATGACGCGTAGAGACGTTTGATCACGCACAAAGTTTATGTGGAGCAGGAGCGGTCGGGCCACGGCAGGTGAAACGTTCCTAGCCTACATGAAGTGAAACTGTTTAATTGTAACATTAATATGTTACTGGACATGCTGGTCTGGTTGGTTAGACCAGTGTTTGAAGTGGAAAACACACACACACACACACACACACACACACACACACACACACACAAACCAATTAAAATAATGCTGACAGCGTGGACTAGAAGCCAGGTGATGGTTTACGTATTTAAATGATGATCAGGCTGATGTAAAATGTAATCTCCATCCACATCCAGACACAATTCTCCTCTATTCTTTCTCTATTTGCTCTGCTCTTGTCTGGGCTGACGTAGCTGACAGTGCGCACGGCGCGCCTAACTAGCGGCTGATGCACATTTTACGCATTTGGAGAGGTGGGCCGGATGCTTTGCGTTTACTGGAAGATGGTCCACTTAACGCACGGGTGTAGACTACATATTAATGACAAATGAATGAAAATTAAATTGTGAGTTTTTACTTCATATTTTATAAATAAAAAGGACGGGGGAACACATTTATGACGTCTTTTTAAACTAATTTTTTTAGCGCGACCTGCCTGCTTCACTTAAGTCACTGCTTATTAAGGTTCGTCCAGAATTACCGTGGGAAATGGGTAATAATGGCTCTTTGATGGGAACAGGTTGCCGACCCCTGGTATAAGATCTGAGCTGGTAAAACAAAAATCCTCATCAGCAGGCGTTTTTGAAAGTGGGGGGGGACACAGCTGCCAATCACTCCCCGGTTAAAATGACGCCTATGATCAAAACTGCGGTTTAATGTAGTGCTCCTGACTGATCTACGATCTGTTTGTAAACGTTTTTAGACATCTGGGATTTTCCCGTGTGTTACCACGGCAGCAGCCAGCACGGGGGAGGGGCTGTACTGGAGCTGAGCTCAATTGTTTAGCTGACAGAGCTGCACATTTTGGTTATTTTCCCCGTTTTATTTTTCAATACAAAGTGCTGCTAGAGCCGATATTAATGACTGTGCTCGTTTGTCTGCAGCAGATGCCATCTCTCAACACCGTGGCTAACCCTTACTGCACACTGGAAGCATCAGCAGCACAGAACGGCAGCAGAAATGTTTACTTGCGACAATCTCTGCACTCCAGTGCAGACCGGGAGAGTCTCAGCCACAAAGCAGCTTCTCTGCTGTGCTCGTTGCTCGACTCACGAGATCGCAAAATCCCTCGAGTCCATGTCATTCGCCATTAAACCCAAAAGAAGGAAATCATGTTTGATATCGCTGTTTGATGTTATGTGTAGTGATGCACTGAGATGAAATTTTTGGACCGATGTCCGACATTAAGATCACTGTTATGGCCGATAACCGATATTTGCTGATACCGATATACTGACATTAATACTTCTCAAATCAGCAGAATATAGAATAAAATTTATTAAAGCTGAATTTACGTTATTATGTACACACACCACACACATTTACACTTCTGAGATTATTACAATCACTGTGACATGACTAAACAAATACACATCACCCCCCCCACCCTCTGAAACTGGCAAACAAATGGTGACAAGATGGAAAAAATATCAGTTGATAATATTGGCCCGGTTTTTTTTTTGTTTTGTTTTTTTAATCGGACCGATATGTTAAAAAATGACTAACATTGGCGGATATCGATATTCAATTCAATTCAAGTTTATTTATAAAGCGCCAAATCACGACAAGAGTCGTCTCAAGGCACTTCACATAATAAAAATTCCAATTCAGGTCAGTTCATTAAGCCAATCAGAAATAATTTTTCCTGTATAAGGAACCCAGCAAATTGCATCAAGTCACTGACTAGTGTCAGTGACTTGATGCAATCCTCATACTAAGCAAGCATAAAGCGACAGTGGAGAGGAAAACTCCCTTTTAACAGGAAGAAACCTGCAGAGAATCCTGGCTCAGTATAAGCAGCCATCCTCCACGACTCACTGGGGATCGAGAAGACACACACACACACACACACACACACACACACACACACACACACACACACACACACACACACACACACACGTAATGTGTCTACAGTTATATTGTGATGTCTTAGTAAATATTCTATTTGGTGAAAGATAAACTTTATTGTATTTATCCTAGTGGATCTATAATTAAACGGATAAACTAGTAGTAGCACATCAAAAGTCAAGGAAAGCAAAAAGTTATTATCAGAAGAAGGAGAATGTTTAAGTGGTTAGCAGCAGTGTGCTAGTCGATGGCCCCCTCCATGAGGCCACCACAGCTCAGCAGAACGATATACTGTCCATCCCTAGTTATATGCGATGTCGCTCCTCTCCACATGCCAGGATTAAAGCCATGAAAAACCCACCACTGCACTTCTGGAACAGTACTGTGAGTAAATGATCCACTTGTATTGACGTAATCTACATAGATATGAAATCGCAATGCTGCATTAGACTTTTATTTTGAAAATTACTGGGGATTTAACACTGAAATCGTGTGTGATTTCCTGTCTAGCCCTATGTTAACTGCAAACATTGTCTCTTCCCAGAAGCGGCTTGTGGCCAAAAAGAACCTGGCCATACCCTTAGCGGCGCCGTGCACACCTGAAAAAAAAATGTTTACCTTCAGTTTTCCTCCTTACATTGATCAAGAAGAACTTGTTTTACATCAAGCACCTCTAGATAAAAATCAAAAGTTGCTTGTTTTGTCCTGGCCGTGGAACACTGGATACTTTTGGGGGGTTCTAGAGGGTGCGTGGGAGTTTGCCCAACCATTCTACATGTTTTGTGGATCTGAAGAAGGCGTTTGACCGTGCCCCTCGGGGGGCCCTGTGAGGGGTACTCTGGGAGTATGGGGTACCAGGCCTCTGATACGGACTGTTAGGTCCATGTATGACTGGTGTCAGAGCTTGGTCCACATTGCCAGCAGTAAGTCGAGCTTGTTTCCGGTGAGAGTTGGACTCCACCAAGGCTGCCCTTTGTCACAGGATTTCTAGGCGCTGCCAAGGTGTTGAGGGGATATGTTTTGGTGGCCTATGTATTAGGTCTCTGCTTTTTGCGGATGATGTGGTCCCTCATCAGAACATGATCTCCAGCTTTCGCTGGAGGGGTTCGCAGCAGAGTATGAAGCAGCTGGGATGAGAATCGGCTCCTCCAAATCTGAGACCATGGTCTTGAATCGGAAAAGGGTAGAATGCTGTCTCCAGATCAGGGACAAGGACCTGCCTCAAGTGAAGGAGTTTAAGTATCTTGGGGGTCTTGTTCATGAGTGAGGGAAAGCTTGGGTGTGAGATCGATAGGATTGGTGCTGCATCTATACCATACCATACCAACTTTATTTATAAAGCACATTTAAAAACGGCATGGCCTGAAGCCTGTTAAGCGCGGAGGCAGGTAAACCAATTAAAATGGAATTTGCATAATCCAGTCGGGAGATGATAAAAGCATGAATTACGGATTCCAGGTGTGCTCGTTTCAGGATCGGTTTTAAGCGAACTAGTCTGCACAGCTGATAAAAACACAATCTGACCACTGCGTTAATCTGAGGGCCCATGGAAAAGTGTGTGTCCCGTTTCACCCCCACCATGGTATGGTAAACAGATGTTGTGCTGATAGGAAAATGCCTGCTGAGATATTTGCATACCATATTGCAGGAAAACTCATAGGAGTAATAGGCCA